ACTACTACTACTACGTACTACCTACCTACTATATAACTAATAGAACGAACAATATATATATATATATATATATATATATATATATATATATATTTGTAATATCCGTTCATGCCTGTGTAACTCTTAGTGACTTCCGAGGAAATTAGAACATACGCGAGCATTATAATCATTCAATCTAAAACACCTTGTTTTAAAGAGGCTGTCCTTGCGCCTTGCCCTGGGAACAGGTGATAGAGAATAGGCCTTGAGTACAGTGGGATTACAAATATAAAAGACACAAATATAAAAGATTTAGCATAATCGGTGGATGCTCAAATCTGCACGGTTCCGAAAATGTGTATCAAAACAATCTTCACCAACTATATGCTACTTTATACGACTGTGAGACGAGACATACTCTCTAACTGCAGCACTAACTGTGCACTTTAGAAAAGCGCACCCGAAAGCGTTCGTACTCGGTGAGGGCATGTGTATCTTTGTTGCTTAAGAGTTTATTTCAGATGTAAACACTTCAGCTAAACAATGACATATACCTTCGCCATACCGGGTTTGGGTTAACCAAGATTTGCCGGTCTGCTATCGAGACGTGGAAGCAAGACAGAATCATAAATAGTAAGTATATTTCAGTTTTAATAGTACGTAATCGGCCGATCACAAAACACTCGGCTCAGCCAACCACACTGCAACGGTAGCTATGCTGCTATGAACATCGTTTTAAATTTGAGATGTACGCTCATCTCAATCTGCAGCAACCGGGGGGAAGCCTACGCCGTCCCTAAAGAATGGCGTTGATGAAGACTGTTCCGACAATGGTACCTTCCAATCTGGGATAAAACACGACGATCTCGCTATGTATTAGGGTTCCGCCAAAAGAACTTAAGGGAGACGTTATTGGTTTGCGTATTTTGTGTCTGAATTTGTAGCCGTATACTAGCACTGTGTGGTGTAGTGTAGGCAGTATCGAAATAGCAGTGCTAGGCGTGTTTCAGGGAAACCCATCATGTGTGACACACGGCGGTAGAGGCATGCCTTGGATAGTCCCATGATATGTAGAGCAATATGTACAAGTGGTCAGGCGAATTTCTATAGCAGAGCTGCTAGAGCCCCTGGATTCAACCCAAGTTATTGAATAGCATTTGTGAAGAGATGATCTGAATGGGGACGCCGTCATACATCATCAATATTTTGGATCTTAATAAGTTTATAAGTTTCACACATCCTCCAAGCCTCGATATCTGCCGGGGCAATTTACGACATATATTGACGGACAAGTAAAGCCTTTAAAGTGGAGAGCTCTGGTGCTAACAGTATATGATCCGATATTAAAGTGGTTTGCCAGACAGCGGAAGTCGCAATCACATCCAAGCCTAAGTGGAGTGTATGGGCCACAACCATAGTGAGGATGCACCAAGCGGCACTGGCCAAACGTATCAACATGGCAGACCGAAACGCATTCGTAGTGCGCAAGCAGAAAGGGTTGGATCTGCCGATAATAAAGCATGTATGTTGGGTGGACACCCCTTTCTGCTTGTTGCTCCAGATAGCTGCTAGTGTGATGATGAGTGTTGTTATGGTCTACTGATTCGTTGGTGTGTGTTGCTTACACGCGACCCGAGGAAAACAGTGAGATCTTGGATTACGAGAAATTATGATTCCAAGGATAGCCGATTGCACGCGTAGGATGGCCTGTCTCGCACGCACCGCCTGTGGGCTTCCGAAGGTTAACTTTTATTGCTCACGCCCCTACTCCACTACTGCTTGTCTTGTTCACCTTGTGACGCTGTAACATTGGCTGCCAATTGAAAGTGAGCAAACGTAGCACAGATCGTCCGGTTACAGAGGAACATGCACAGGTTTTTACGCACTGAACTCAGAACCATCAGGCGAGATGTAACCACCACGGCTAGATAGAAGTTAAATTATACACGATTGGAGAGCGCACACTATGCGTGTTGCGTAGAGCACTCCAGTACGGAAGAAAAATGGCAACTGCAGGACAGCTGTGGCAACCTAATTAACTGTAACTTTGCCCTGGTTTAGCCAAATCTATGCGGCGAAAATTGTCGGCACCAGGGATGAAAGCGGCTAAGAAATTGGCTTCGATTTTGTCTGCCCACTCTCTAAAGGTAAGTGATGTCGCGAAATTTAAGCTTTACCCTGGTAATACACACACCACAATGTATCAATCTCGAAAGGATGGATGAACATTTCATAAGCGATTTGAGCCGCATTGATGAAATTACACAAGAAAAAGCGTGCGCCAAATAGTGCGCTTGTTGCCATACTTGGACAGGCTTTGACTAGTCTACCAAAACTCTTGCAACTACAGCTATCGTCACAGTATATGTGACGTATATAGCATGATGAATTATTCGTGTGTTAATATGAGGATGGTATATAAGTTCGGAAATGAGTATTTTCCGTTCCATAAGCCCTTGCGATGGCTGAGATTTCATACCCCTGCCATTCTGGACCACGTATTTTCTGTCCTACAAGCCTTTACGATGATTGAAAGGTGCTCTGTCTCTTAGGAGACGGGACACTGAGTTTCAACATCCTCAATTTTCATTCTATTCGCCTATGCGATGACTGAAGGTGTACTACGTATCCCCTAGAGCACACTGCGCGGGGTCTACGCCGAGTTAATGATAAGTCTTCTTCCTCTTCCTCTTGAGTGTTGTACCTCGGGTACATATATGACCCATATTGTTGTAGTTTGTTCGCTCACAACAGTACCTCCTGTTTGGAATACAGGCAGTGGTTTGCATTCTCTCAGAAAACAACCCGCAACCAAAAAAAAGGCTGGACGCCTACAAATGCCCGCGAAAGCGAGATAAGGTATTCACTGAATGACACATACACATATAAAGTTACTCAAAGTTATGAGTATCAACCATCTCCCGGTACGGATTTATTGAAGCTCGTGTAGTGACTCCAGGGACGGTCTTTTGGACGAGCCCTTTCGTATGTACAGCAGTCAGACCTAGCTTGTACGTACAACAGTCAGACCTAGCTATGGTGAAAATAGTCGATTCTGATAACCAGAGGGCTATGCATGCGCGCTGATGAAGAAATATGTGAGGGGTCAGCCAAATTTGATTAAAATCGTATTGTGGGGATTCGATGTTTCACGTCACAGTCATACTTTGATGCGTACAGGCAAATAGATAACCTGTTTCGAACGAAGGTCAGACTGCATTTTTTCACAGATAATAAATACCAACACTATCCGCAGGTTTAGTTGTCGCGGAGCAAGCGAGCGACTTGTCATCTGTTCAGCGGCATACAGACCATAGAACAAACAAGGGCTTTGTTCTGGAGAAAAGTTGGCCCAAGACCCAAAACGCCTAGCTGTAGTCTTTAATTTAAAATCAATAACTGGCCTGTGATTCTACGCCAGGACTATATACAAGAGCATATCCATATATATATATATAGATCCCAAGGCACGATCGATATGTATTTCGCTCAGGTCCAGTGTAAGATTGAAAATATGATATGCTTCTGTCGAAAATTCTGAGACTGAAAAACCATAATCAGTTTGGTGGCATGCAGACCAAAGAACTAACAGAAACTTTGTTCCTGGGAGGCGCAACACTGAGCACCGCCAAGATCAGCTGCAGTACTTGATATAGAATTAGTATTCGTCCAGACTTATATGTTAGGATTAGAGCGTTAATACATAAGCCGATGTACGATCGATATGTAATTTCACCAAGTGTGAGTAAGATAATGTAGTAATTGTCAGTATCTGAGCTGCCATGCTACCAGCCGAGGAGCAGCTCTTATTTCGCGCTGACCCTTGTTGTATCATTGAGAGATACTGGACCCTGGCTACTGAACAGATAGATAACGTATTTTTATCCGGGGTGAGAGAACTAATTCATTCCCAGAGCCAGATAATATATTAATTATCTTCTTGTTCACCCATAATCTATTTATAAGTTGTGTGCGAATGCGTATGTATGTGCGTGTATGTATATGTTTATGCGATATATATATATATACATATATATATATATAGTGTATGTGTATGTAGGTATATGTACACACACAGACACACACACACACACACATATATATATATATATATGTGTGTGTACTTATATATATATATATATGC